TTTGACTGAAACCGATCGATCAGTTCTTAACGGCCAAACCATCACGTCATTGACCAGCCCTCAGTTAGAAGATGCAATCACTGTCGTCAAGCTAAACTCTCTGCGACACCAAATAAATCGCGTTCGAATAGAGCAATTTGCAAGGGCACGACGCCAAAAGGTCTTCATATTTCCTGCGCTTCATACACGGACCAAGTCCACTGGTCCCGTTAATCTACGTCTTCGTGCGGACGACTTGCTCCAACAACCGGACCAAGGCACCAAGATCCCTTTCCCGGGACTCTTTCTGTACACCCCAAATATGCCTGCAGTCGTACTGACTAACATCTGTACCCTGCTCGGCCTGGTCAATGGTGCTGCGGGGACTGCTGTAGGCATCGTGATAGATCAGACTGGTCCGTTTGTCATCCATAAATAGTCATGAACGTTGCCTGACACCTCTCTGTTAGCCGAATTCTTCCAAATCAACGACCTCTATATCATGTGCACCAAACCACCCGCCTGCATATTGTTTAAACCGGACAGACCCAAACCCACTGCGTTTCAAGACCTTGAACCTTCAGTCCTGCCAGTCTTTCCTTTAGAGCGATCTATCACCCTGAAAGGCTATTCGGTCCGTAGAACGCAAGTTCCCATGTGCCCCGCTTTCAGCCTTACCGACTATAAAGTGCAAGGCTCGACCCTTGTGGCTGCGATCCTCGACCTTAAAGATGACCCCGCGATCCGAGGACAGGATCGTCACCGGAAGTATTGCTCGATGTATGTGCAGCTATCTCGACTGCGTTCCTCTAAAGGTCTTCATCTCCTGCAGAAACTCGACATGCAAGATCTTCGATTCAGACCTGATCCCCGACTACTAACTGAAATGCAAAGACTTCAGGACCTCGAGAAGGAGACGATTGCTGCTTGGCGTGAAGCTTCAAATAAATGAGACCGTGCTCCACCATAACAGAATAGTCCTTGCGATGAATCAACGTAAAGGTACTCGTTTTAGACCTCAAACTTTTGGTAGACGAACACTAGTAGCAATATATACTTAGGGGCCCCATCCCGTGATAAATAATTCAATTTAACTTTACGGATATATTTCTACTCACATGCTCAACCAATCACCCCTTTTGCCACATCGTACTGCGTGGCTTGGCATACATATATTTGACTCATACTTTTATCCGTGCATAATTATTATCCGCGCCCTATCAAAAGCAAGCGTTCATTGTCATACTATCTCTTCAAATCCAGTTCACTTCGTCAACCCTTTTCGTTTCAGGGCCACAGCGTGCGCAGCGCGCGTCTTCCAGTATATATATACGTATGCGCAGAGGAATGGAAGCAACTTAGAAAGGATTAGACATGTACCCTGCAATAGCAGAGTTGGTTGATAGGACGGGAGAGCAACATAAAGGGAGTAGTTTTATTGGGGTTGCCTCACAATGCCCGTAGCCTCACGTGATATCTACACCGACACTACTGAGGGCCTCTTCCTCCTACAACTGCCTCACGAGAGTCAGTTCCTTACCTCTGCGGGTAGCTCGTCATCTCTCACGCAGTCAAGTCTTGATTTTGTCCCTCCCGCCTTCCCTCTGTATATAGAATTCACTACAATACAGACATATTGCCTCCCCACAAGGGAGCGCGAACGGGCCCTATCTGACGCTACGGTCTACGACCGCAGCGACAGGTGACCCGTTATGGCCAAACTACATTCTTCTTGCTCCTCTTGACTGCGTGAGGTCACCAATAAAATATATAAATATCAAGCCACATAGTACGGCAACAACACAACGTACGACTACACAACGGAATCGGATTGCCCTAATTAACGAGTATCTAAGCTTACATTCTCTTCGTAGTAAAGTCTTCTATTTCTAGGACCAGGAGCTATTCTCTTATTGTCCAATTACCGGTGACGATATATCGCCGACGATAATATCATTTGCCGATATCGTATCGACAGTTTCTGAAACTGTCGATGTCGATTGCCGATACGATATCGGCAGACTTCGAAGTTGACGGTGCCGATTGACGATATGGGAAAACAGTGCCGATATCGTATCGTTAACAGCTCTACAACCAAACCCTCAAAAAACCACAACACGTAACTTACAGGAATCACTTGTGACCAATCAAAGCACTAACGTATTCGGCATGCGAGCTGGCCAGGTAAGCGAGCTGGCCACCCACCAATTATTACTAGCATTAAATTGTACATTTCAGCACCACAACATCTTATAATTGAAACTGAAGCTATTCAGACCTCTCTGGGCACCTGTTTCTCTTATGTCCTACATTTTTACAAAGGCTACACCGCTGCCTTGCTCTCTGAGGAGGCTGAGTAGGTGTTGGCGAAGACCCTCCTTCTCTAGCTGATCCTGCTTCATCAGCTATTTCTTGTCCTGAAACCATCGATAAAGCCTCCAAAACAGTCATGCCACCTTCGTGAGCTATTCGCTTCCTTGTACGCTGCTTCTTTCGGGTAGTCTTCGCATTGGCAGCCCGTAATTCGCTATTTTCCTGACGCATAATAGTAGCGCCATGGATAGCTAAATGGCAGCCTTTTACGATCTGCTCAAAGGCTGCCTCTACCCGCGATGGGTTGTCTTGTAGCATTTTCTTAATAGATGATGCTTGTCGCCGTACATCCTTCGCTGTATACGGAGTTTTCGGGGTAAAATTGAGGCTCGAATCGCTTCCACGGCTCGGAGGAGGTGGGGTATGTAGGCGTATAGAAAGCTTCGAAACCACGCGATCCGGGTTAAAAGGGGCGATACCAGCAGCTGCGAAGCTATTCAGAATAGTGTCTTGCTTAAATGCTTCATTTCGAGCAGCAGGATAAGCCGTAAGAAAGTCGTTTTTATCGATTCGACAGACACCAAGCTTTACCTGCGACTCAACTAGCTTCCCGTATGCCCGCTTTAACACCCCAAAACAGCCGATATCGAGAGGCTGTAAGATATGAGATGAATGCGCCGGCATACAGATCGGTATAATCCTATTTTTTGAGCAGATATCGTCGAACTTAGGCGTAAGATGGCTGCCGTGGCCGTCGAGGACTAGGAGACGATACCTTCCCTTCGTCCGGCTAGTAGTCAATGGAATAAAGTGCTTTTGAAGCCATGCGAGGCCTATTTCATCGGTTGTCCATCCATTCTTGCTGACTTCGAAGCGCCAATCCCACGGCAAGTTGGTATCCTTAAACCAGGCCTCCATAAAGACCTTGCCCTTAAAGATAACGCATGGCGGTAGCGCCCACCCTGCCGCGCTTATAGCTTCAATTGCAGTCACCCATTCGCGGTTTCCAGGTTGTAAAACAGCTCTCCGACCGTAGGTTCTTCTCGTCACAACCTTTGCGGTAGCTGTAAGACCGAGGGCGAAGCCGGTTTCATCGAAATTGTAGATATCATCGTCTAGAATACCGTACTTCTCGATCGTCGACCTCACGAAGTTAAACCACGTTGAAATCGCCTTTTCGTCTTCGCATTGAGCTCGCCGGTAGTCGTAAGCCCTAGAGAATCGAGTAGAGAGCTCAGGATATCGATTGACGAAGTTTTTGACCCATTTTTCGCCGACCGTAATGGGTGGAGTAGATCCACGCGCTTCCAGTAGTAAATTCGCTACCTCTCGTACAGTACTCGGCCGAGGAGCAGCTCCACGATCATCTAGTGAGATGATCCAATTATATAGCGATTCCTCCTCGAAAACAGTCAATTTATGGCTGTTAGCGCGTGTTTCGGCGCGGTAGGTGATACCACTAAGACGCGCCGAGAGCGTAGAGCGGGGGGACATCAAAAAGCTCTGCAGCCTTGCGTAAAGAGCTAATTTCTTGTTTCTGAATGGCTTCAATAGCTAACAAGATCCTACCCTCTTGCTCAGTACGTTTATGAGAGCTTTGAGAGCGAATTGGTGGCATGGTGGGTGGTTGAATAAAGACGGTCTAATTACATGAGGTGTTTTTGGGTGGGTGGCCAGCTCGCTTACCCGGCCAGCTCGCATGCCGAATACGTTAACTGATAAGTTCCCAGGAACAAAACATGCGCACGATAAGCTCCCAGGAGCAAAGTGGAGCACGTTCAAGAACAATTACACAGGGACTGCTCAGTGATCAATCAGGGTGATCAAGGACAGCGTGTCCTCACGGCAGAGGACATTGGGTACCTAGAAGGCATCTATGTACTGGATTTCCTCTGTCGGTCGATCCCAAGGTCACGTTCGCCTGAATGATCAGGGATCGATCACAGTCTCATGCATGAGGTGTCGTTTCTACACGCTCTTGTCTTGCTCCTGGGAACTTATCAGTTGGTGATATGATTGGTTGTACGTGAATCCTGTAGGTTTCGTCTTTTCTGAGGGTTTGGTTGGCTGTTGTCATCCCCCGTAGGTTGCTGACGGCTTGTCTCTTAACACTTTGCGCTTCGCAGTTCACCTCCAAGTCAACGTAACCTAACCACTCAGGCCAGGAGACACTGTTTCTATATCTTTAAGGGCCTCAAAACACCCCAGGGTAGGAAGACGATCGTGGAGCCACGTGACGAGAGCTTTCGACCTACCGTGGGCTGTGTTCTGAATTCCTGCTCTCCCCCCGTTCGTGTATCTCCAACCCCACTGGTTCGCCTGATGTGAAACTCAATGCGGGAGTGTCAACATGATATTCTTGACTCGGGGTGCCAAAAGCCTCCTCAAAAGCCAGATTTCTCATTGGAACCTGTCAAAAACGGTCACATTTTCCACGCGACGGCTCAACCCGAACATCCACCGCCCATCACTTCACAATACCACACCACAGGCATGCGTGAAGAGGCAAATACTTCAATTCCTTGCTATGTCGCTATCGTCTTCATCACCAGCCAGGATGCTCGACTCCAAACGTACTCCATCCATCCCCTTTCTACCATAATGAAGCCGATGTCATCGAGAAGAACATGCTCGACGACGGCTTCCGGACATGGGGCCTCGTCATCTACAGATGCACTTACAAGAGCGACTCTGACTAGAAGGAGTTCATGCGTCGCTTTCTCTATCATGTGAGAGATACGCTCGAGTATTACGACGGCCTCGATATGCTCGATTCATTCGTGCCTACGGTGATGGATGACAAGACGCGTTTTGATGGTGTGACTCCATCTATTGTGCGTGATTATTTCAACCAGTGGGCGCGTACTACGTGTGAAACCGAGCAAGGCGTTCCGTTTGATCGTGCCCAGTGGGCAAATACGGCACGGTATAAATTCTGTATCATGGTTGATGAGGAGGCATTGCAGTCAGTTCTGGACATTTCACCTGAGGATGTCGTGCGTTATAATGACACCGACTTTGTGGTTCTGGTTAATGGCAGGTGGGAGCCGCGATTCCTGAGTGAAGAGGAATTAGGAGGTTATACCAGTCCGCCGCAAGAGAATAATTTCGAGCCAGTGCAGGGGTGCACGCTGGAAGATGTGGGCTGGATGAAAGTGCGCTATGATCGGGCTCAGATAGTGGCCTCTGCTTTTATGCGCGATTGTCTTGACTGGGAGCTGCAGTATAGGCGTCCTCCTGAGATTACTTTCAACTGCTGATCTGATCTGACCTTTTCTCTTTTCTCCAGTTTTCTTTCTTATCTTGGAGCTGGTTTTACTAACTAACCTACAGTAAGAAGCAATACACCGGAAAAACGTCCAATATAGACTAGTGTGTCTCTTGGCGTTGGAGCCTGGAGAATCAATCGAAGAGTGTAGGTGGTCGCACCAGTTTCGGGACGTACTGTAATCATAGGGTTGCCCGTTGCCAATTCTACCTGAATACCATAACGATGTCCTTTGCCGACCCTTTGGCTCCATTGGCAGACCTCTAGGCCAATGAGTCTCTATACAATAGAAGCTCACTTAAAACTGCAGGCAACGTTCCAGACCTGGGACACCAGCGTCGCTCTACACTCAGGCTGTGCTTAGCTGGATTTGCTGTATGGCAACGATTGCTTGCATCTCAAGGTCTTCGCAGTTCGCAGTTCGCGATTCTGAATAGCAGTTTGGCTACAATTCCCCATTTACGTACTGGATCGACAGTTAGCCTGGAGAGTTAAGCAAAAGTGGGAGTGTCGGCGGTTTGGAGTTCGCGGTTTGGAGTTCGCGGTTCTGAACTGTAAGACCTCGCCTCCACTAGGCATCTTATGCAATATTTAAGAGCCAATCCTCCCCGAAGTGGCCGATGTGTATTCAGGACCTGACAGCTCAACCAAGGCCATCAGCATTAAGCAAGCAAGCCTGTTCCTGACAAGGGATAGGGCAGGTACGTCTTTCCTTATCAATTCCGTTGGGTAATAACTGCATGATGTCTAACCCCAAAACTGGAGCATACAATAGGGTGTTACGCAAAACAGACGGACAACGAGAGAGGTAAGCCTATTCTCTCTAACTAGTTTGTGGAAAGAGCTTTTGCTGACTACTAGCTTTGCTGTGCATTCCTCACAGCGAGATCATACAAGCAGTTATGCTTCGAATCAAATGGCTTTTATTGGAGGAAGGAAGCGGGCCTCGCGAGTGATACAAAATGAAATACTCGTCTCGCTACGGTGACTGTACTTTGAGGATCGGAAGGAGGACCGAATTTATCTTGTACTGACGCGGCAAATCCAGATACCATCGAGTCGGCGCATGTTTTGGAGACAATGCCTGAAACCAACCAAAGTGCAACGTGCGTAATGCCTGAGGCACCAACTGACTGTGAGTCAAGAGATGAGTCTGATAAACAACCAGACGCACATCTTCCCGCGACAGCCCATTCCCTGCGCCAGCTGGCCCCCCAACTACTCTGTCGACTCAGTTTGTTTCGTTCGATTATCTGCTGAATAATTCTTTCAACAAGGGATGGAGGAAACAATCGCCGAATTCCACGTCAGGTTAAAGAACAACAAAGGCTCCAAGAAGCGGCTGAGCGCCGTGAAGAGGAAGAGAGACAGGCGCGAGAAGCGGCAGAATGGCGAGTGCAATCCAACTCACTATTTCGCCTCCTCGATCGCTGCCACGATTCTCTGTCTCAAGCGATCCAAGTTGAGGCAGATGCAACCCTCACGACGCAGGGCGACGCGGCCGACCCAGTGAACCGTGTCAACAAAAGAGGGTCGAAATGTTACTAGTGCGCCTGGGGAATATTCAGCACCCCCTCTGCCTGATGATCGTTAAGGCTCTCAACGACCTTACTAAGCTCATCCCCTATTTATTCTGCACTTTCTATAGTATATAAAAAAAACACTCTCAAGTACTCAATTGGCTATGCCCGTACTAGTCCGTACTGTAACGACCACGTTCCGACACCACGATTTATGTCCATTTTTGGGTATTTTGGGCAACCCGCGGGTACCCGCCAAGAACCCATGGGCGGGTTTATGAAGGCCAAAACCCACGGTGGGCTACCCGTGGGTGGGTGAAGAAAGTGAAAACCCAACCCAAACCCGCGCTTGGCGAGGTCTACTGTTCACTCAAGGTCAGAACTACGAAGTGTAGAGCCCTTTGATATGTCTCGAAAATCCGAATCATGGGTTCAATTCAAGATGATTATGCGGTAGGCTCAGTTTCTTGCGTCGCCAAAGAAATTGCTTGAGATGACTATTGCTAGTCACTCGAACCTGTTCTACACTAGAATGCCTACATTATAGAGCGATTGCGAGAGTGAGAGTTTCTTTCTCTCGAGGTTAACATGTAATTGGTAGCTTTGGCTCGGGAATACCTGATCCGCTCCTTCTACATGTAGGAGCCGTCGCAACTTTGTGAATAATATCCCGCCAGTACTTCCGATTCATAGTTCACCCAATCTCTCGTAAAAGTCCACTACAGCGATTAAGAAACAGTCGTTTTTTCCTGTGGTGCCTATTCCCGAGTCATGCAATACAGCATGCTCCGCTGCTGATATAGCATGATTGAAGTCCGGTCGATTTCCAACTAGCCCTCCGGGACCAGAACTGGTAAAAACACTCTCCACGATCGCCGCTCCGGACTTGGTGATATTTGTACAGGGGTGTTCTCATCCGCGTGTGACCCTAGCAGGCATCCGCTCATATCCTCCCCAAGCAAATGTAACATGAGCGCTTATTGGGGTAGATAATTCGTATAAGCTGTACGGGACATTCAGAGGTCCTACAACCCGAGGGCTCTTGTGGTGCTCTTACAGACATCAAGCCCACCTTCACGGTGAATTGCTCAACAGTGATATGTCAGATATCGTCCTGGGCGCGATGACAAATGCATCATCGATGATCAAAGCACAGTGAGCTCAGAGACGTAGAGAAATCGGTGATTTGCTGGCAAGATCTGCTTGCGCCGCCAGTTGCGATATGTTAGACGACGGTATTAATGGACGAAGGATACTGGATGGCTTGACTGCAGCTGCAGTGACCCTCAACGTATATGGGCTTTGCACATAGTGCTCGGGCTTGGATAGAAAAATGCAGGCTTAGGAATCAAATCAAACAACTTTCGATCCAACGGGGACAAAACAAACACTTTTGGTAGCATGCAGCTCCGTGTATGTCCGAACGACTCGTTTCCGCTCGCTCGCACATGTCCACAAGCTCAGCAACGCGGAGAGTAAGAGAGATCAGGGGACTCTACCAGGCGTGGTTCTGGGGTCATGAGTTCTCTTTTTGGTTTGGCCGTCCTCGGTCTTGTCCATCGATTCGAAGCTGACATGGCTATTGTTAGTTTATTCGGCTAGAAATGACGGGACTTTCGCCTCATCTTCTCCTTGCACGCAAACTTAAACTAACAACCTGGCCGTCTGCGAAAGTACAGCTCAAGCAAGACGAAACTTCGGCTCCTCAGGCTTGAGAGACGCAGACGCCATCCAAGGACAACGATGGTCACCCACTGGACGCCGGCGGTCCGAGCCGCAAGCAAGCTATCCTATGAGGGTGTTCGAATTCCGAGAGACAGACACTGCTATACGCTCCATTGGGTCTTGCATCAGGTAGGCATATTAACGCATGATCTGATGAACCAAATCTGCTGGGAGAAGGTCGAAGTAGCGACGCGTCGATGCCACCAGTAGTCATGTGGAAGAAACAAGCATGCGATGGTGTTGGTGCAGGGGAGGTTGAGTAAACAAGACATTTGTTCGCTTCGCATTCGAGCGTGAGAATATGAGGGCGTCTCCTGTTGGGAGATCCGTCAGCAAGTATTGATCCAGTTGGACGAGGTGTTGGTTACGTTGCTGAAGAAGAACACCCCGAGTGTACGCTTGAAGCAGATGGTCTGCTGCAATGCAGTCACCAATCATGCCATGTTGTATCCAGGTTCCTCGCACTCTCCGGCTGTCGCTTCGAGAAGTTGCGCTGGATGCACCGGGCAAGTTCACAAGACGGCAAAGGCGCGCGACGAACCCACCTGTGACAAGAAATTGTACAGTCGTATTGGGAGACTGCTCCGTGTAGAGGCACTCTGTTGTTGAGGATGTGAAGACGGTGAGGTGTAGGGCGTAAGACGCGATGGAGCGCGTCGCCCCCTTGGTCTTATCTGACTCGGCGGGAATAGGTTACTCGCCACAGCAGTTTTCGAGGTTGGTGAAGGGCTACAACGGCATGAAGATGTCAGTGGTTTTTGTGTTTGAGACACAGACTTGGCAGAGATTATTGGACCCGGCGCAGTAGGAGGCGAGATATTACACTCACCTCATCGTGCACAACGAACGTCTGGGGCTTATGCAACCTGCTGTTGGCCCGCGGCCTTGGTTTGCAATATTTCACATAGGACATGTTGCATGGTTTGAAGTGACAGGGCCAGAAATGGCGTGTAAGCCATGACCCTGTGCGGAGCACTGACGGAGTGCTGGTTTGGACTCACTCTGGGGCGCGCGCTGTCAACGGTTTCCTGTCCATCGTTAACTTGTCGATCAGCGAGGCAATGCATGACTCACATGTGCTGGAAGACGACACGGGAAAGGGCTCCGTGGCTGGCGTATATTGGATAGAATGCATGGATCTTTGTTTCGCATCGTCTTTGAAGTCAGTCTAGTCTCGGATACGGTCGTGCCGAGACAAACTTACCTCGACCGCTCTTTTGCATCGATATATTCAGGAGCGGACAGTGGTCGGCTGCTACGGTGGTCAGATGTTCGCATAGATACTTTGTCCAGCTAACCCAAATCTGCTTCTTTGATCGGCTGGCATGAGTGACATAGTGGACCTGGTGGTCGTCGCGTCTCACAAGCACTTTCTAGCTTGTCGGTCCGCGATGTAACTATAGATGTCAATACAGTAAAATTCCAGTAGGTCAAAGGGAAGAACTTTTCAGGAATCAAAGACCTGCTCACTCTGCATAGCCAAGTGATGGTAATGTAGAACAAATTGCTGGGGGAAGAGGACGTATTTATAGGTTTCTCGGCTCCTGTAGCACGCGGGCTCTATTAGAGAGCAAACGTTGAACACGATGTCTATACTAAGTGAGGCCTGTTGCAACCCATGCCTTCATTCTACCGCAACTATTAGCAGCGAAATTCGTGGTGCGATCTTAGATGCTCATCAAGAAAACATTGTAAAGTCATATTGAAAATGAGTCAGAGTGAGTCGGTTAAGAAACGTTGGGTCACTGTTGAATCTACGGTCTTAATATTGAGGCAACGGAAGCTCGTCATTCTTTGATCTTACCAAGAGCGCTCACATTTTCATCTAAGGAACATGGAATTTTCTGGTCAGAGTGTTGATTGTCTGCGCTGTGTGTGGTTCTGTCCGTCTAGGCTGCGGAAAGGGCAGGCGGGCGCGGGGGTACTCAACCCTTCAACTCGTTGAAGCTTGGCCGTCCTTGTTGACAGGAGTCAACTTTTGGACTTGTGATCATGGTTGAGGTAGATACCTACTTTTCCCGACTTTCATTTTCGGTCCTCTAGATTTTACTCTATTTACTTTTGGGATTTCTGAGCTCTCTAGCAAATGTGGATAAGTGTTGTGATTGAATGTATATAGCCGTGTCACGGGACGACCCCCCACCCTCTCGGGTAGGGGGTGTCCCTCAGCCATAATGCAATTCTCAGCCATAATGCAAATTCTCTACTTTTTCAACTTTACGCGTATTCCTACCCACCAAAAATGCCTAAAAAACCTCGTGATGAAGAGGATCTGCTAGCTAAGGCATTACATGCTTATACTACGCGAGAATTTTCATCCCTACGTAAGGCTGCGGACCATTATCGCGTGTCTTATTCGAAGCTTCGCGGTCGCAAAAACGGACAGACATCTCTCTCCGATCGTCCTACCACTAACAATGCATTGAATTCGAATCAGGAAAATGCATTAATTAGCTGGATCGAATTGCTAAATTCTTGCTATACACCTCCAAAGGCAAAAGACATTGAAATTGCCGCAAATCGCCTATTGAAAATGGTAGGGTCGGAGAGAGTTGTCGGCCCAATATATAGCTATCGGCTTATACGGCGTCTACCTCCACACATCAAGCTTATTACCCAAAAACCAAAGGAATCTTTACGAATTTAAGCTAAGGATCCTAGAGTTATTAGCTATCGGTACGATAGGCTTGAGTATCTCTACCGTGAGCATGGTTTTGAACCTTATGAGATCTATAATTGGGATGAAACCGGCTTCTAAAATGGCGAAGGACTTAACTAACACGTCGTCTCTACGCGTTAAACTGCTAGCATTGCTACTAGAGATCGAGGTGAAACTATTACTGGCATTGAATGTATTGCCGCTGATGGCTAGGTGATGTTTCTATGGTTTCTAGTCAAAGGCAGCGTCTACATAGAAGACTGGTATAGCAATATGTCAACCTCTTCTTCGGCGTACAAAATCATCTATTTGACGTCTAGTGGCTAGACAGATAGTGAGACTGCCTACCGATGGCTCTGCTCGTTTCATAAAGCTATAAAAAACCGCGTACGACGCGGGCGACCGAGGCTTTTGCTAATGGATAATCATGCATCTTATACAACTATCGAATTTCTCGATTTTTGTAAGGAAAACTTGATTATTCCTTGGTATTTCGTACCTCACACGACTTATCTATGTTAGCCGCTTGATGCTAAGGCTTTTTTAAGCCTAAAGCATCATTTTAAAATGGCGAATACTGAAGTTATGGCGTGGGGTGGAAGCAATGAAAAACGCGACTTTTTCCGCGAAATTGATGCCGTCCGACACCGCGCCCTAAGGTCCAAAACGATCTAAACCTCGTTTAAATCTACTGGTATCTGGCCACTAGATCCTAAACAAGTTTTAGATAATTTGGGGCAGTATTCGGATGAAGAGACCTTGCGCATGTATGACGAGCCGTCACCGTCACCCGCCCGCGAGTTTCTAAGTTTAGTAACCAATTCCCCGCCTAATTCTTATTCGCGCATTGCGAAATTAGAGAAGGCGGTTTTTCTACTACTTAATGACACGAGTCCTGATTTACGGAAAATTCGGAAGCATATACGGCGCGCAATTGATGCCGGAAAATCGTCTCTATACAATGCGGAACTTGCGGAGATGAGCCTTACGCGCGCCCTTAGCCACAAAACGCCTGGAAAAAAGCCAAAAAGTAAGCGATGGGTAAAGGGAGCTACAAAAAGCCCCCTTTCATCAATTTCAGGTAATAAGCTAGTATAGCGGAGGTGTGAGAAAGAAGATGAATCGAAGCTTCGTGCTTGGCGGAAAGACGCAGTGAAAATGGCGGCCGATTTGGCGGCTAAGGAATTGGAGGAAACCCTTGAAAATGAGGAGGATGATACATTATTGGCTAATGAGGCTATTGACGGGCTTTATTTCATGGATCCTGGACCTTATACGTCTAGAAAATAAGCTAGAAGTTGAAGAAATTGAAAATTTGCATTATGGCTGAGAATTGCATTATGGCTGAGGGGACACCCCCTACCCGCGAGGGTGGGGGGCGGTCCTGTGACACGGCTATCCTGGACTGTTCACCCCTGGCCCGACATACCCGCCCGCGGTTCCTTTGCCGTCTACATCGCCTTGTTGATCAAATTTGGTCTGTGTAAGTCCTATTCTGATCTACTATTTATCAAAGACAAGTACGAAAGTAACGTCAGCATTAGATCAGGTAACTGTGCAGCTACGCTCCTGATATACTACGTCTTTTACTACCATTTTCAAGAAATTGAGAAAGCAACATGTCGGGCCCGAAATAGTGACCTAATTATTATTCTGGGTGTACATTTCTTTTCCTATAGTTAGTGAAGTGCATCATGCATTATCTCACGCTCCGCCGCACTCGGTGAGCAGGCCAGCACTGCCAAAGGACGGAATCTAGTCCTGAGACATTATTTCGGATACGGTTTTACGCCACAATAAATCCTGAGAGACTATCCCTCCCTAAAAGGTACCAAGATGTGAAGGACCTTGTATATCTATAAGAAAACTCTTGAAAGTTATATTCCTGCTTTGGTAACGGCGGCACTCTCACTCCTCACGGCCGCCGGATTCGGAATTGGCTTCTTTCCCTTCACGCGCGTCAGCGCGTGAAAGCGGGCACCAAATGCAAAACTACATCTCCCGAGTTATCTGTTTCTTCCTCCGCAGTCCAAACATTTGCAGGATCTCCGTCCAGAAACCCGGCGTGTACTCCGTGAAAGTAGCCTCATACGCATCGATGACTGGCCGGTCCCAGATCAAGTCAGCTTCGTGCGCCTTGATGAACTTGGTACGCTTGAATAACTTCCACCCAAAAAACAGGACTGGGGAGGCTAGGACCATGGTATAATAAGTGAAGAAATCGCCCACGGTGAACTTTCCTGGAATGAAAGTGGAATAGCCGTAGCAGCATACGACACAGGTCATCCAGATCAGGCCGATCCAGGCAGAGTAGGGCTGGAAGTAGCCATAGTATGGAAGAGCTCGCCGGTCCATGTTCTGAGCACGGAGGGCGCGATAAAAGAAGAGGTATGTCACGCAAATAATAATGTAGTCGATGACCTGGGCGGCAGTGATGATGTTCGTGAGCCAAGTGAGAACCAGAGCAGATCCGCTGGAAACGTTCAAAAAGGCGAGGAAGGGGAAGACAATAATAACGCAGAGGCAGTAGATGGGAACGCCGGCTTTCGTGCAGCGTCGAAGGATTTTGGGTGCCTGGCCCTGGAGAGACAAGCCATAGAGACTGCGAGTGCCGTAGTATGTGTACGCATTACCTGCGGAGAAAATACTCGTCACTAACAAAGCATTTGTAATATGAGGTAACACGGTAATGCCTAGGTTTTTCATGGCGATGACATAGGGAGATGCGGCCGCCGTGCCTGAGCCACCCGAAGAGCCGCTGAGAATGTCCAGAAGTGTTGTGTCGTTGTATGGAATGACAATGCCCACGCATAGCGCACTGCCGATGAAGAAGATGGCAAAACGAACATAGGTAGTCTTGAAGGCTGCTTTTAGGTAGCGTCGAGGCAGCTTGGTTTCTCCTGCTACCATTGACATGTATTCAGGTCCGACGATGGTGAACGAGGCACTCCAGACAGCTCCTATGAAGCCTTCAAACTGACCCAAAGGACCCGTTGAGAGATATTCGGCGAATGCACCGGGTTTATTCCAGTAGCGGAACCCATAAGCATCGTGCTTGGGGTTGCCACCAACCATGGTAATGAATGTGAACATGAAGACAATGAGAATGAGCAGTACCTTTCCAGTTGCCAGCCAAAACTCAGCTTCACCATACCACTTGACCGTAAACGCATTGAGGACACTAATTGACTAGCAGGTTAGCAGACTGTCTCTGAGGCCAAGAAAGGAATGATATCAGAGGTTCAGAATTAGAGAAAAAAAAGAGTCCGTACAAGTAGATGACAATACAGGCAGCTACTACTGCCTCGACCGGAATGTCATCCCGCCAGAATGTCAAGACCAGGTTCAATGCTGAGATCTCGAATGGAATGAGGAGTGCCTCGTAAATGAAGAAGTTCCAACCAGCCCAGAAACCAAAGGCTTCATCGACCCAGTGGCCCGCCAGTCGAATAAAAGCACCACTGATGGGCATGAAGACAGCCATTTCGGCCATACAATTGTTGACCAGGCCCATCATGCAGGAGTAGATGGTGTATGCCAGGAATAAGCTACCAGGGCCACCCTTGGTTAGACCGGACGTGATGCTGACGAAGGTCGCTGTCCCAATGGAGCCACCAATGGCGATCAATTGGATCTGACGGTTACCTAGGTGTCGTTTCAACTGGTCGGTGTTGTCAATGACAACGCCAGCAGTTTGCTTATCATCTTGAATTTCAGTGACTGAATCGCCCCCTTTCTCCTCGAGGATTGGCTCCTGGCTTTTCTCTGTGAAATTCGCAATCATAATCACTCATTGATGTATCCGATCACTCACGATGGATGTAAATTGACTAAATATCTGCAGAGAATTCGCAGCAACATGACCCTCTATTTAAATGCAGCGCCGCTATCAGGATTGCATCGAACTCCCAGAGTCTGACGCTTTGAACACCACTCTACAATAACCATGGTTGACTGGTGGTAATCTCAAGGTTGCCCGCCTTATTGGCTTGCTATCGCGTTAGCCTGTGTACTAAAACGCCAAATCAACTTTAAGACGGTGATCCACCAATCAAAGTCTCCACTTCCCCGCAACCTTGTCAAAAATCGCGTGCAATCAGGATGGTAGCCTGCCTAATCTTCCTCGCTTGCTCGCTATTCGTGACTCGGCAAACTTGGTTGGCCACCCTGAGGTCATGAGGGGGTAGCGGCTGTGATAACGGATGAGGTATGTTCGGCTTCACAGCCGATGTGCCCTTGACTTGTTTAGGACTTGTTTTCCTCTGTTAGAGATAATGACCCGTGGATTATCAGTCGATGTGACATTTTACGAATCGAAGTAAGGTTGCTCAATACTCGTTCTTTCATCCTTAGTCGTGCAAAGCGATAAAGAAAACCTGGTGGCAGACCAGCCACCGTCATTGGCAGCGATACACAGACCTGACTGACACTGGGACAACCCGCAGTGAGAACTCATTCCGAGGCAATGGAAAAAGAAGAAATCGAGTTTATCATTTTAGCCTTCAAAGTACTTCAATATTTTGAAAAAGTAAACCCGTTGTTTCACTCCATTGGGAGCCAGCCAACTGAAGGCTTCAGCCGACCACAGTGTACACACGGGTTAGCCACCCCCCTCAGGGACTCGGGGACTTCAGAAACTAATTTACTGTACATCTGTCAATGGTATGGCCATTTGGGGTTGAAGCGCAAGCCACTGCGGGGTAAGTCATCGGGTGAGGAGCCGGTTGGGCCGTTCTTAGGCTTATCAGCCGACCGAGAACCCGATCACAGGAAGCCTACGGGAAGTTTCCCGTAGATATTGAGGTACTGGTCGCTGTAATCAGAAAGTATAATTAAGTGCTGGTCAGATTTCTTGCAGGCTAGCTTGTTGTAGGAGCCTAGCGCATAGATATCCCGCTCAGGATCGTCCTCGTTGTTCGTCCTCGTCCCCCTAAACATTATGTGCGCAATCATACCCCGATCCAAGGCATAGCTGAACATGAGTTCAGTCATATTCGGGGTCAATGTGACGCCGTAACCTGCGTGGATCTTGAGTTCATTGCTAGTTCATCTCTGAATCACGATCTCTGTTTCACAGATCTGGAAATCCAGCGCAAAGAGATGGACAATAATTATGACAGTCAGTAATTTCGCTTCCATATTAACGGCGTTGGGTACTAAAATATCAAGTTAGTTGCGGCTGTGTCCCTAGGATGAATGTGGACGAATTGCTACTACGATAGACTATTTTTGCCGAGATGTGTTTCTCAATTTGTAACACAATATGAACTGATATACATGGGTATCCCAAATAAAGTCATATGAACCTCAACTACGAACAGAGGCCTATTCCAATACCTTCTTGATAACCTGGGACATTCTCGCCACCCAGTGCAAAACAAGCGTCGCAATAACATTGAAAGCGACATCAACCTATATGATGCCAGAGTTACGCTACCTAGTGTCGTAGTCTGCGTAAATGGCTGCTAGATACACGTTCGTCTGCTTGACCTTGCAGTACTGGTAGTTGCTCATAGCGTCTGATTCTAGTAAGCACCCATCAACCGCTACGATATGCTTAACTATGTAATCACCGCATGTTTGATTTGGATTTGCAGTTGGATTAAAGGTGGTGAACTTCTTGGTAGCACACGTTACGTTGGCATTAGTGACACCTGTTGAGGGAATGGCCGAGACGTCTTATGCGAGCAGTAAGGCACGGTATAAGAAGATCCAGAACTAGTGTATTTAGTCTAGCGACGCTAGAACGCCGCCGAAGAAAAAGACTAAAAACGCTTCCAACTGAGAAAACAATGTCGAGAAGCATTAGCGGCTCATATATGTATTTACTGACCCCTTCTGCTGCCCACACACAATCTGATATGCCTAGTTAACCGACTTCCCCTCGTCGTCCCTCCCGAACGAGTCCGTCTTCAACCGCGGTCCGAAGATGGATACGCTTGGTCTGTCACGAACACGAATGCCGCTTTGCTCAAATCAAACCTATGTACTTGATTTCCTCTGCCACTTCTTGGCGTTCTCTTTCCGTATTAGTGCTCAGGACTTGCCACTTTTTGCTCACTGAGTAAATCTGAGCACGCCCCTGAGCGCCCTGATCCGCTCACTGAGCATTACATAAGGCTCTGACCTCTCACTGAGTGTCACCTGATAATCACCTGAGCACCTGGATCCACTCACTGATCATCATCTGAGTGCCCTGATTCGCTCACTGAGCATGACCTGAGCGTAGGCATGAGCGGCCTGAGTAAGCTACATCAATAAAATGCAACACGCTAGTTACATCACGTGTAGCTTTTCTCTAGATCACCCCCATCGTCCCATCAGAAAAAGATTGGCGTCATCAATGTGACCGTTTCGCTCTAGACCTGTCGGTTCCCATTTCTGGCTTTGCTCCCAGGATCAATTAATTGATTTGCCCCACAATGCGCATTCAGGCTTTGGACCTCTGCTAGGGCGATGGCCAGTGGGCGAATCTACTTACAATCTTGCCCTGTAACAAGGTAAACTGAAGGAATTCATGTTCAGCAGGCAACGAAGATGGATTAGTTCGTTACTTCTTTCGAATGAGCGCACATATCTGAAGCCCTTCCTGAGCGTATAATGTCAAGCATTTCTTTGCCATTGCTGAATGGAGTTGGTGGCCCGTCATGCGCTCCCAGGAGCCTGCTAGACTACCACAGTGCATTGCAATACTGTACTCCTGGGGCTTATAGAGTGTTTTGTTTCAGCCAACCATTTACTTTCAGAGGTAAGGCGAACTCCCAGGAATCCCCCACCTTTCTAACATTTCTCTCTGAAGTGATGTCACCCCCAAAATGGATATATATCGAACCACTCCTCCCAGAATAATAGTTTTATCATATCCCTGCTATCCATCATTACAAAATCAAACACTGTAAGCTCGGTCTTAATTCACTCCTTGATTCGCATCAACTGATCGTACATTAGATTGTCATTGTTTTCCCCTTTGCAAGGCCAAGTTGATCAGTATCACCACTTCTCAGGCCGCGCAGCGGAGCGTCTGCGTCCCCCGGAGGCTCACAAAGCTACCGAAAAATCACGCTTCAAAATTAACAGGGCTTTGTCGTCGATTGTCTTCCGCTGATACTAATCTAAACTGGGTGTCATCAGTACTTGGTCAATCAGAACCCCAGCAGGTCCGGTCATGAATTCCAACGTCATCGTGGGCAAGGGGGTTAGATCCCAGTACGAAAGGTTGACTGAGTCCATGGCTGACATTTATTTTGCAGGGGTTGAACGGGGATGCTCTTGATTCTGTGACATAGGAGCACGACTGTTGAGCGAACGGCTACGGATGCGTGAAAACCTCTGTGTTGTGCGTCAATTCGGAGGCCCTGTTGTGATTAAATTTCGGCCGAATGATTCTCTTCACCAGCAGTAATATCTGATCAGAAGACAAGCGCGGCGTTGGCTATGGAGAACAAGAATTGTGAGCAATTGTTCAAGTTCGGAAAGATAACTGGCACTGAAGTGCATCACTTGTGATGTTAAGGGCAGACCATAGAGCTGCAGCGATCTCGAGACGTTTTGTAAGCGCTCTTACCTGTGCTATATCCTTCTCGATTTTCTCGACACGTCGATGTTTCCGCTAGGTGAGAGCTTGTGAGGCATGGTGAAAGTATGGCACAAATTTGGATTTAGTCTTAGTTTCCATTATTTCGATCTGATATACCTCTTTTCTGACCAAGAGCAACAGCTGGTAACCAAAACGGCTCCTTACCTTGCAGACAAGGAGAAATACGGCGTGCTGAGAAAAGCTTGCTTTGAGGAGGTAACCACCTCAACAAGCCTCCAAATGTTGACTGATATGTCTCCCAGTTTTCGGATCCTGGGCTTTATATCGAAACTTCACAACATCCTTACTGATTGCTGAAGATCAGTAGCTTTTGTTATATGACGTTTTACTGCCCTTGTTGCAAGAACCAGATGCCAACACAAGGCTTGCACCGCAGGCCATCGCAGCTGCAGAGACCTTTTGCCAAATCGGACATGGATGGACCCCTCCGATCTGGTTTCCTAACGAAGTTTTATACTTACAAACGGAAGGGTTTTCTCGAGCTCCCTCCCCACTCCAGTGGACTTTCGTCAGCGATATCATTTCTCTTCAGTTTTCCGATGAACGACAATAATACAGCAAGAAACCCTAGGTGCAACCAAAATCCAAAGACGATTCTTCGCCGTACTTTAGCAATTCGGATTTCTTCAAGCATCACAGAGAATAATCCACCAGCCGAAGCTGGGCGGGAGGAGCCTGCATGGTATCGTTAACCAGTTGGTTTAAGTGGAAGAAATCTAAATGCAAGTTGCTTCTTCTGAGCGCCAAGACCAAACGAAGCCATATCTGTTGAAGTGCCTGAATATTAAGCTTATTTATAAAGCGGACGGCTAAAAGCCCCTCAGTCTAACCCGTCAGTCTTGGTCGACTCTCGACCCTGAGAGCTTAGCGTCGAACGGAAATGACTACCATTGCCAGCAAATGGATATTTTTATAAAGATTGAACGTCTCTGGTTGAACACTAAACAGTCCGTACTCAGTATGAAGTGAGGTAATCCGGTAGGAGTCCAAAAACCTGCAATCACCCAAAACTTGATTAATTGTTTTCCTGTTGGCTGATATATCTGGGTAATTATCGACCTTCATCATGGCTGCTTCGGCCCGGAATTGATACACCTTGCTCGTATTTCTCTGAGAGAAAATTACAGACCCTTGTAACCGACTTGCACAGCCACCGTTTTGATACAGACAAGCCACAATACTTGGCAGTACTGTATAATTTTCGATACATCAAACAAGCATGTTTCCGTAAGATACCAGAGTCGTATATTCTCGGCCAGATGTTCGTCTGAATAGTCTGATTTTCTACAATATGCACTGTCAAGTTCAGCCGCAGAAAATTGGCTTATTCGAACGTCAGATCAACGAGTCAACTCCTTTATGTTCAAAGTCAACTTCATCCAGTGTGTTTCTGGTGTAAGTGGTAGAATATGAAACTGAAGTTATCTACAGTGGTGTAACATTAGTATTTAACAGGAATATCCTGTATAGCTAGGGAAATACAATGGATGTACTAGGCGATTGGCGCAACGGAATCAAAAGGGGGAACTACCCAAAATGATGAGATCAAAAGAGTGTTGATTCCTGTCTCCTATCTACTGGGATCGAGGGGGTTAAAATAGCCTCGAGAATACCTGGTATCGAATCCTCTAGAATCCCAGAGGTACCGTTTGGGTCAATACGATGCTGATCACCATTTTCCTGACAGTATTTGACCTCGAGTACTTCGGGCCAGGACCCACTTTTTAATACTGCCAGCAGAAACCTCCAAAATTGAATTCAATTTAATAGCTAGTATGCCACCCATTATACTTAATGACATCAGCTACCCTGTGAGGCATTGTCTCCGATAGATGCTTAAATAGATCAATATCTAAACTTTCCCATGCTTCCTGCGCAGCTTCTAGTAGCAATTCTAGCGTAGATACGTTATTAGGAAGCTGCATAAGCTCAGGATGACGCTTAGACCTCGCCATGACCCGGACCGTGGGTCCCTTCTCGCGACCCTTGACCCGCCCCTCCGGAGGGGAGGGTCGTAGGCTGACGACCCTCACCGCACCTGAGGGTCATAAAATCTTTGGAGGGTCACCCGCCAAGTTACCCTCACGACCCGCATATGCATAAATTCTTCACACCTTCCCTGATTAGGATGGATAAATTTGCTGACAGATAGCAATAAATTACTGTTTCTTATACCTGTTTCGTCTGTCACACACTTAATTCATCTTTTTCTATCCGACCCCTGTGTATTTTTATGAAATATGTCTTCAGGTCTTCTTGCTTGGTAATACTCAATTGACAGATTCTCAGGTCTAAGGGAGACCGTTGTGGTATGTATTGTAAAGAATTGGAGAGATTGGCAAATCACGATGTGGAAATATATATTTTGAGTGCAGAACGTAGTCGCACCGCAATC